TAGGGAGTGTCCATAAGGTGATACACTCTTGGACTGGGCTGCCGGCAAATGGACATGTAATGACATTTTGTAGGATTGATGGGTAAATCCCACACTGTTATTCTTAAAATCAGATGTCGCTCAAACCAACGAAAATAAATAAATCAACAGTAGTGAGGAAAAAGGTCTTTGCGTAGCAAGTTAGTCCCCCCCCACCCCTAACCTACCCCACTTGATCGAGAAAGTCAACGAGTATCACTACAATAATCGCTTTGATTACTTGGGTAAATCGCATGCTCTCTATTACTTTGCAATTTATTTTTTACTAGCTGCGTTCTGCACACATACACACACACACACACCATATATTCGATAATGTGATGTCAACCAGCTTCAGCTTATTAACAGCAGATAGAATTTGTGGATTGAGATTGTGATAGCAGATAACAGGTACTTATTCCCAAAAAAGCCAACAGACAGCGAACACTGATAATTGATAATATATCCCCAAGAAAAGATGGTTGAATAATGAACGAATCTGAATAGTGTGGATCGGTCACATAGTTTTGGAAACATGTTAGTTCTTACCAATCACCGGTAACGGTAACCTCACGAACATCGATCGCTTGTGCTCTCTTCGGTAGCCTTAGCAATCAATACGTTCTCTTAAGGTTAAAAATGGTGTAAAATTAAGCGCTATTCTTTCCGGATGCGAAGAAATGCAAATGTGGGCTGGAGTATAATTCCTTATGAAAAGTGCACTTTCAAAGGTGAATGCTACTAACTGTATGCAGTAGGGCTTTGATGGCAAATCCTCGTGGATCAAATGACTGGCGTATCAGGTAAGCAACCCATTGTATCTGGGCTTCTAATACATTCGGTAAATATGTATGTTAAAAGCTGTTATGTGACAAGGTCTCTCCGATTGAGAAGTTGTATTTTTAGAATAGAACTGTAACTAAACTATGCACTCTTTCTAGTGAGCAGAATGTGTAGTGCGATGATTCAAGTTCATCTGACGTCATCATTGACGCATGAAAACGAGAGCAGTCATAAACTCTTTTCTCTACGATATTCTTTAATCGCGTAAGGACGATTTTAATGCGCTCAAAATGACGTCCCTGGGAGCCAAGTTTAACTACACTTAACAATGGGGATTTTCATGCGCTGGTCGATTTCATATACCAAAGAATCCCTATTGCTTAATAGACCTAATTCATCCTCACCTGAATTTTCCAATTTGGAATGAAATAAAGCTTTCCAATCCGATATCGTTCTGATGACTGACTGATTAGAAAAAATTATGGTCGAGTGACGATATCTATCTAAAAGATTCGTGATGGTCACATGAACAAATGATTTTGTCGGGGAGTCTGCGGCGACTGAACTCTTTTTTACCTACTCTTTATTAGTAGTCTGAAGTAAATTGCTGCCAAGTGCTACCAACCAATGCGGTACAATAGTGCAATGGCTATGAGCAGATCGGCGTACATCTCTCTCTCTCTCTCTGGTAACAAACGAGACTCGTTTTCCACAATTTACTTTGCCTGTGATGCGTGCGTGTGTGTATGTATGTATGTATTTGTGTCTCTCTCTCTCTCTCCCTCTGTGTGTGTGTGTGTGTGTGGAGCTCACCTTCGCCGATCCATTATTAGGTGAGCTCAAACAAATGTCGAAATGTCGCACGTCGAAAATAGATTCTGACCAATGCTGTTGTGTACAAATGAAACCATCAATCATTGAATGATATTGAAAACGCTCCGTTTTACGTAGTAAGAGATTTTGTATTCCTAAATATTTGACAAGATTTTATTTTTCAAACCAACCAATTCGGTTCATGTAAGTGGTGGTGGTTGAGAAACTTGAGTTCGAACTCAGCTTCCGCGGCCGCCACTCACATTCTCCATTTTCCCAGGCAAGCGTTCTCTGGTAGCAGACCCCTTGCCAAAATTGTATCATACATGTCTATTCTGAATAATTTCGAAATTTCGAAGTATGCCCATATTCGCATTTAGAACACCATTGCAGGCGAACACTTGTTTTAAATAAGTCATCTTCATACCGTTACAGTTCATTCTTTTGATGGGGAACCTAGGGGTTGGGAGGAGAACAATAAAGTGTGAGGAACCGTTCACTTCGTGTATGCGTGTCTGTGTTTGTGTTGCACACCGCATTCTCAGATCGGTGCTTCTAGGGTTTTCAATTAGTTGAATAAAGAAGCCAAAGACAGGTTTGCACATTGTATCCCGGATCATTTTGCCGCATGTGTACACATGCATACCGCAGTCTATGTGATCATTAATATATGGCCAGTAAATAACAAAATCCTAGGCCATATATTAATGACCATGTATTAATGATCACATAGACTGCAGTATGTACGTATACAGATGCAGTGAAATGATCCGGGATACATTGTGCAAACCTGTTTTTGGCTTCTTTATTGAAATTCGTTACGGGGAAACTATGCTTCCAGTTTTCAATTATCACGACGGTTGTGGGACTCAGTTCTGAGGGATCGGTGTTGTGTGAAAGTGTTTGTGTGTGCGGGTAGGAGGGGCAGGTGGGAGCAGTGAGTTCGCGAACCCCGCTGAAAAGGAGAGCTTGGATAAGGCGCTTCTGAACACAGTTCGGGGGTCAAATGTTCAATACAGATGGCCTCGGCTATGACCAACATACGCATTCTAACGTATTTGGACCGATTCGGGAGACCTGATAAATAATTCGGAATGCTTCACTTGGATTAATACGAGGGCCAGTGTCTACCAAGTAAGCGAGAATCGCACTTATGATGGATCCTGAACCATCTCGACTGAGCGAGCGCGGGTTTTAAGTTATTGAAAACAACTGTTCATCTGAAGTTGTATTCTGAATAAGCAAAAATTAAATTCGGAAGACTTAGTTATTAATGAAAATTCGATGGCAGTAAAGATGTCAAACAAGCTACACAATGTTGGCCATGTTTTTCACCTTAGCTATTCATTTGTTTTCTATTAAATGACGTCCAGTCCAAAAGTCATCAAACATATATCTGAATCACAGTTGGATAGTGCTCAATCTCGAATTTGTACTCTTTTTCGTATGTCGCAATTTAGCTGTCGAGCCCGGAATCGTGACCCCCGATCAACGAGTCGAATCATGGCTAATGGCTTCCCCAATTGCAGTCAATGACCCAATCCCGAAAGACCTTAGGTAATGCTTGGTTTGTTTTTTAAATGCCTTCAAATAGTTGTCGTTTGTGCCAATATTGTATTGGAAGATTTTGCTCATTAAAATAGGTACCATGGAATTGAGTTAAAGTGCTTCCTTTGGTTGCGAAATCCTCCAGAATTAGAATACGGCTGCTGTAATGGCATAGCCTCAATCAACATTCAGTGCAGCATTTGTAATCCATCCCCTGTTTGATTTTACGTACGCAGTCTGGGTCGTACCCTTTCGGTGCTAAGCACACGCTCATCTGTGACCGAGATTTGTTGCCCTACGGTGTCAAATGTTGGGTGAACTTCACTGTGTGAATTTCCGTTCGTGGGATCCGTAGAAGATGTTGTTCCGAGTGCACAGAAATGTTGTATGAGAAAAATAGAGATGTGGTGAACAAGCTTGCTTTCAGTGTTTTATCCGTCGGGAAGGAGGGAGCGAGTTGTTTTAACACCGACCGCATAATTGGTGATTATCCCTTGTGGAGAGTGAATGTTCGATTGAAATGTTAGGTGGGGGGAGATAGGACACATGGCTACGGGTAAGGAAAGTGATTTAACGTAATGTTTGTGTGTACATCAAGGAGGATTGTTTATTCTAATCACTAACGGGGATCCGGTCTAAAGATGTGAAAACTCGATTGTTATCTACAGCAGAGGTGACAGCGATTAGAATAAACAAACCCCCATTATCTGCACACAAACATTCCGTTAAATCACTTTCCTTACTCGCAGCCACGTGTCCTATCTGCCCCCACTTCACACTTCAGTCGAATATTCACACTCCGCAACTGATTATCACCAATTATGCGGTCGGTGTTGAAACAACTCGCTCCCTCTCTCCCAACCCCTCAACTCCCATTTCGCACATACTCAAACCCTGATTTAGCTCTATATCCGTGTTATTTCCCTGAGTTATATAATGTGATGTAATTGCCCAGTAGATGAAAGCAAGCTTGTTCGCCACATCCCTGTTTTTCTAATGAATGTATCAGAATAATTCATTCATTTGAAAAAGTCAAAAATACTGTATTGTATTACGTTTTGTTGCGTCGACCTGTGCGGGCAACTTTACCAACATTTCAGTAAAAAATATACTCACAGTTACAATAGGATAAATTCATATGCAACAATGATAAAACTTAAACAGAAAATTATCTTTCTAGATGTGAAATTAATTCATTAAGGATTTTTCTTCTCGTCAGTTAGGATAGGGATCAGATGAGTAGCAGTGATTTACGATAAATATGTACGCAGGAGGATGAGCGACGATAACTGGATTGAACGGTAGCGTGGGTGCGCCGGGCAGATAGGTCAGGATTGAGCGAATGAACGGTTTTTTACGCGCGAAAGTCTCACAATAATTATTATCAAAATCACAAAATTTTGGGATTGGCGTGTTTATATGAATAAGAGAAACATGGCTAATAGTCGCCAAACCGCGGCGACAGTCGAGAAGTAAAGTATGACAGAAAAGAATGCATGGATAAGAAAAGAACGTAGTTGAGTACTCCACACTAAATTTTCGTAGACTGCGTACCTGGAAAGATAAGCTACAAAGGCTAGCACATGAGAGGACTACCACAGAATGCTCTCTTTGGTGAGTGTTTGGTTGTATGTATTCTATTGATTGGTGCAGAATTGATGACTCAGGGTTCCAAGGGATATTCCGACCGGGAGAGACTAAAAGCGCTTTGGAAACCTTTAGAAGCATTCAATTGGAGACCGGATCCGTAATGGAATACTTGCAGTTAAAATAAACTTTCAGAAAACAATTCTATGACAGACTAGTTTGTGATGAATTGACATGAAACCACATCATCAGGATATTTATAGATTTTGACTGGCGGGATGCAGGGTAGGTGTAATGATTGAAGTACATACAGATCACGGATTACGAATCACGTATTAGCAATCATGGGCGCCACAGAAGCACCGAATCGCACTGGCACTTGTATGACAGTATCCCACGTAACTGAGACGGAAGGCAAAGACCGTGGATGTAGCAGTTCGTTTATTGGAAGAAAACAAAGGGGCTAAATAGCATATACAAAAGAAGTTCATTGGTTATTCAGGCATATACCAATTGCGTGCTCGTATTCTTGACGTCGTACAGCTTCTGTCTGGGCTGCGTGGCTTGTGATTGGTTAGCTTAATCCGCCTATGGTTCGTTGTCCAGGGGCTGTAACACGTAGGCACTTGCCTGTCGTCATCTGGGAAACTGGACGCATCATAGTTTTCCGAAAGCTGTAACGTGTCACATCGTGGTATGCGTCATTGCGTAGGCCAGGACCACCACATATCTCCTCCCTCAAAAGAGCCTAGACTGTTTGGCTTGCTTTTATGCTTGGTCTTTGCAGTGCCAGTAGGGTATTCTCATGGGCAGATGTTCCAGAAGTAATAAACTGCGGCCTTTGGTTTCCTGCACCTGGTAACATCGTATCACCGAGCTAGCTTTCTTGGAACTCTTCTGTAGGGTCCAGAAGAATTTTCAACTCTAAAATTGTTTTAGGACTTGCAGAGGCAATGGTGCTGTTCACCGTTTGAAAATAAGTATGGAGAAAGCACGACATCCTACAGGAATCGCGAATTATTCACCAACAGTTTTGAAACGGTGTCGCTTGCTTTCTTTTAATAAATCCTTCACGTAAAATAGCTTTTCAAGCACAACAATAGAGTGGTAAAGCGACCGAATGACTGGAACCTACGGATACGAATAGATCGTGGAACGTGGAATGAAAAGCGGAAGAATAATCTAAGAATACACATCGGACGGAGTCTGGTAATTGTCTAGAGATTTGCCAATACAGTGTATCGCCTCAAGAGATAGCGTCGAATGTAAGTCTAGGTGGCTATTGTGAACAATAATACCATCGTGCATGCGGGTGAGCATAATGCACTGTACTAGTTTAAGTCCAGAGGAAATGATTGCGAAGTGATGACGTATCTTTGAATCTCTTGAATGCACCATTTCACACCCAAATGCGGTTCTACAAGGTACCTTATTAGGGTCTCCAAGGGCAATGCAGGTCCATTAGGCTATCAGCTAAACCAAGTTTGCATTTTAAAAAATTGGATTCACTTATTCACCAGATTTGCATGCTCATGCCTCCTCTTTTTTGCCTCGAAAAAATGTGACATTTCCTGTGGTTATTTTACTTGATCACAAGTGAACATCTACGAACTTCGCATTTTGGTCGGTTTAAGTGTTAGATATGTACAATAAGAAATTCAGCAGTTCAAACGAATTCTTCACTTTAAGAATAATCCTTGTCGTTTGTATTCAACATGAGGATTGGAAACGACCAAGTTGCATGGTCTTCTACAATTCACGAATCAACTTGACTAGATCGTGACAAACGGACATCTGTGTGCATTGATAAAAGTAGTGTGTACCAATTTGTACACTTTACATTCATCCGAATATCTGTAGCACCTCTGCGTTGGAGATAATTGCTATCTGGGGACTGTTCGCGTGCAAACAGCAAAACGAATGAGATCATATTCGAATTGCCACCCTGCAAATCACAACTAATCCATCTGACAGCGGAAATAGATATGCCCTGGCAAATGATTTGCTCTCTGCAATGCTCGGATCACAACGTTTAACTAAACCCGCATGAATTTTTATGTGCAATGACGGGCTTAGATGAGCCACTGTTTCGAACTGGGACTGATTGCAACATGTGCGAATTGATTTTGGGAAAAACAAAGAGTAGTGAACAAGCTCGTTTGCGGTGATTCTTCTACAGGCTATTACATCACTATTTACATTAAACTGTTCAGAAGGGAGGGGGTGCCGAGAAATCATGACAAGTTGGAAAAGAGCGAATCGACATTTCTGGTCCAAAACCGGATGTTGCTCACACTTTGGTCGTCACACGTGCGCACTGGTTTGGGTCACAAAGGGTGGATGAGGGGATGGATGTGTTAAGTGTGGTGTTGGTCGTGGACAACCGAGTATGCTTACGAATTGTTTGTGGGAGCATGGGGGGGGGGGGGGGGGNGGGGATTCCGCTGTGACCAGAATGCGACTCCTAATCCGCTTTGATCAACGGCTGCGAACTATATAGAGGGGTCAAACGCCTCGACCACATTAACCACATGGCTTGATTTCATTAGCTGTGAAACGATCGAGCTGTTGATGGTTTTAATTACACCACTATTCAATCAAACCGCGTGGTGCTCACAGATTTGTTCGTGCTCGTGTGGTCAGTATATTGTGTCTCACAGGAACAGGTAAACAAGTACACACAGAAGCGGGCTGCAGAACCAGGTAATTTATTCATGAGTTGAAAGCACAAATGTGGCTTCAAGATGAATACAGTGTGCAGTTTTTCAACGGGGAATGCTTTTTATACAACGTTACTCAGCTTACGTATCACCATCTTGGCCGTTGTTTCGCCCCTGAAAGGTAGCAATATGTAAACCGGTTTCTTATCTTACTTGTCCAAAAATCACTTTGGGAATCCGTTTTGAAATAAACGTCTCGAATAAACCTTAATTATGTGTCAATGATATCGTCTGTACAAATTATTCACTCCCTGGTAGCTAGGCGCTGAATCAGGTTCTTTTCCGTTCCAAAGGCACAAATTTTGAAATGGATATACTCATCGTTTCGCAATGGGGCAGTGAATAGTTATGTCCGCACGACGGCCTAATAAAACGTCCAGAAATACGCTCTACTCATTCTCTTCGTNCGTTCTCCAGAGTAAACCTAATGTTTGAATGCACTAAGCTAAATACTTTTAAGTATCTTGACAAATTCACACTGCCATCGACAAAGCACAAAATGTTAGCCCCATATCGCTTGTAAAAAGTGCAGCGATAGATTGTTCGTTTTCAGTATGTTATTCTTTAGTTTCGCCATGAAAATATTTGCGGACAGTAGACACACAGGAGATCCCGTTACTACCCCATCTCTTTAACGTCAAAATTCGTCATGGAATTTGAATTGTATTTTGTGTGTGTGCAAAACTATGATAACTGTCTGAGATCACCAACTGGTATTC